AGTATTTGAAGACTGTAGATCTGTCTCAACTGAAATGATTTTTGTAGTGTAAACCTAAAAAATATTTTGATATTTAATTTTATTTATGTAAGAGTAACGATCATTTCCAGTTTTTGCAGCACTTAGTATTCTATCTGTGTTCGGACTTTGCTAATGATGGGTCCTCCACTTATTAAGCATGAGCATTTGAGTATCGAATTTTTTAGCTTCGTGTCGCTCCTTCTTTTTGAGAATCTTTTATTTCTTTTTTTTACTTCTAATGTGTTGTTGCTACCATGTTCCAGTCTTGTTGCCTTAATTTGTGCACTTGTTGAATTCCTTAACTTTTTGTTTTTTTACAATGTTCATCGTACTTCTACTTTTCAATGCTTTTTAGTTATTAGTTCCAACTTTCGATAATTTTTAAGTTTGATCATATTTTCGTGGTATTTAGGACTTTTTTTTTCTATGTAAGTGTGACTTTCTTTTTGGTACACTTGCTCCGATTCTTTGCTTTTAATGTGCTCGTGGCTGTTTTTCCTTGATTATTCCTTTTTATTCATGCTTGGATGATTGAGAAAATGAAATTTTCTTTTCTCTCACTTCCATTTTGACATACACGTTCTGACCCTGACAGGCTACTGTGCAAACTAGAGCTTGCTAGAACTGAAGTATTCCGTGGAGAGGATTTTCATCTCAGTAGATATTTTGACATACACATTCTGACCCTGACAGGCTACTGTGCAAACTAGAGCTTGCTAGAACTGAAGTATTCCGTGGAGAGGATCTCAGTAGACATTTTGACATACATGTTCTGACCCTGACAGGCTACTGTGCAAACTAGAGCTTGCTAGAACTGAAGTATTCCATGGAGAGGATTTTCATCTCAGTAGACCTCTGGACAGTTCTTGTGACTCATTATGGCTAGAGCCATCTGGCTACCAATGCTTTTTTCCCTTACCTTTTAAGAGTACTGTTTCTTTCATTCATCATTATAGGGATTTTAGATGTATGTACACATAGAGGTAACATGTATTTGGTATGTACACGTTTATCATTAGAAAAGTAATTCAGATAAATACTTACTTTTACCTATACACATTCTTACTCTCCTTCTCCTTGTCTGAATATATCTGTAAAGAGTAATATCTAAGGCTGTCACAAACTAGAGAAAACCCTATTGTGCATGTAGCTGCAGGTGGAAGCTGCTGATGGTACTATGAGATAGCTTATGAATGAATGATATTGTGAGAGTAAATTATGTTTTAGATCTAGTTGATAATTGTTGTATTTTAACTCTGTCTTTCTGAAGGTAAATAATTGAATGAAGGTTATTTTAATGCTAAAAAAATGTTTACTTTTTTAAAACTGAAAACCTTTTTAATCTCTCTACATCTCACAAAAAGGTAAATTTTGATTTGTCATCAATATTCTGCAAAGCAAATCCAAAATTATACAACATACGTTTTGATTTTCTTTTCAAAATGCATAAACAAAATATATGTATGAGTTTTTCCCCCATAAAATCAAGCCCCACAAAAAGATCTAAAATAATTCAAAATAAAATGCTGCAAATGCAGTATTAGCACCAAAGAGAAACAAGCAGTAAATGTAAAATCGTCTTCGTAACTTTTACCATCAAGAAAAAGTGATTGGGTATAGAGAGCGCATTGACGTGGGTGGAGAGAGTCACAAGATTAAAATAACTAAGGGCGATATAGTGAGGTATAAAGACTGGAGCAAGCAAGTTAGAATTCATACCATTGCTTAAAAAGGCAAAGAAGAGAACCTTTCATCAGGATGAAGCTAAAGTGTGAGAGAAGGTATGTGTGTGTGTTTCAGAATGAAAAATTCCTAAGAAAGTTTTAATACAAATGTAAGAAGATATAAATAGCAGTAATTAAAATCTCCAAAGAAAGAAAGCATTGTAAATTGTTCTTTAAAAAATATCAAAATGAAATATTTTCAAATTTTAAAAGCTGTGAATTCATACAACTATCACATACAAATGTTTTCCCATTTGAACTGCAATAAAACAAACCACACATGTTTTTAACAGGTGCATCAAACTGACACAACCAGTATTTTAAAGTTAATAACTAAAATCATATTTAACAAAAACTCACTTTTGTAAATGCCTCAGGCATGCATTGCTCCAAAAACCTTCTACAGTTATCATCAGCATCAAAAAGACCTGAAAGTTATCATTACATAAATAAATTAAAGAATGGAAAACATTTAAAACAGTTGGTTTTATAAATATGAGCAGAAGGGAATTAATCCAACAAAAAAACTGGAGACATTTTTTTCAAATATTAACATCTCATACACAAATTCACCTGATGCCCCTTCTCTACTTCCTCATGACTCTATGGTTACGCTGGTGTTGGTTGGGTGGGTGGGGGGGCATCTTCCATGGAGTACATACAATTCCTTATATGCAGAGGGTAGTGCCTTACATGTGGTCTGATGTTTTTACTCCTGTTGGCTCTAAGGCAAAGTTTGAAGGGGATAATGGGCAGACTATTGAAAATTTAGACTATTTTTCCATCACTTTCCTCTGCTCAGATACCTACTCATGAACCTTGGGCAGACATCCTGTCTGTTATGTATTAGCATTTCAAATAGCCTGAAATTGAATTAACTGATAAATTTAAATTTAGTAGTTAAATTGTACTTTGAATTTAGTAGTTAAATTAAAGCTGATATATAGACAGTTTCTGATATTTGCCAACAAGAGTGATACACACCGTTTTCGTTTTTAACACAAATATGTTTTAATATACACACAACCATACAATTTTACAATAACAATTATTACAAATAGTTATTTCAAACTTTGATTTATAAACAAAAGTTTCACAAACTTACAAACAATATAAAGCCTTCTTTCTAGCTTGGAACTTTCTTGATATCTTATCGATGAGCGAGTTGATTACGAGTTGATGGAGATATATTTCACTTAACTGGAAGCTAGCTAGCTTTGTCTCTCACTGATCACATGCTGATTTTTCCACCGTTGGAGTTAGGTAATGTTTTTGTAAAAATATTAATGTCCGATGAGAATCCACTGAAGTTAGACGATTTGTAATGTTTGAAATTTATAAATATTCCTGGTCAAATATCTTAAGTTTACCAATTGATAAGTGTTATAAAAATCACAGTTCTGGCTTTTGAAGTTTATAGCACACTGATTATAGTGAACTACTAATAGACGCTCCATTGGCATGTTGGTTTAGTTATATTTATACGCATGGGAAGTTTTCTAGAAAATAAGGTCTTATGTAACAATACAAGTGTTTACGTATATACATATATTGTTGTTTCTTACTCTCGAGAATCTTCTACAACTTTGGAGAATAGGTGCAATCATATCTAACACTACAAGCTATGCACGTTTTTAAACATAAACTTAATCTAAACAACGTCAATATTAAAATAAATACATAAAAACAAGTTCGTTACATGCTTCTTGCACCTTTTTTTTTAATTTATTTAATTAGTATGCCATGTTTGAGCATTTATCCTGTGGCTTATGAATCTTTTTTTTGGAAGAAACTAGTTCATCAGATTACATTTGCCAGACATTGCAGTGCATACAAGGAGATTTGCAGATCATTTGAGGGAGGGTGTTGCCATGCCTGTCTTTCTCGTTTATTGGATAAATATGCCTTGACTTTCCATTGCCTGTTGAACCCTTATTTAGATTCTTAGAGATTAGATAATTTACTTCTGGTTTTGGGCTGTAGACAAGATGCCACTGTTTCTCTTAAACAATCTCAGTTTGATAGTTTGGCTGTCACTGACAATAATTTTCTGTTTTTTATTATCTTTGCAACTGTTGTCTGAGGCCTATCATAGATTCCTTTCTCAAATTTTGGAGGATCTTAATCATTTATTGACTTCCTTCTCTCAGTCTATTTTGCAGGAATTCCAGAATCCATGGAATCTCGAGTAGATGGGGCCCATCTCCATTCTTCATTTTCTACACTGGCTTCTTAACTGTTCCACAATTCTTCTTCAGGATGGTTTATTGCATCTCCCATTCATGTTTCCACACCTCCTGTTTCGGCACCATGAATTATTAGAACACAAGGGTGATTTTGACCTTACCAGCAAGGATCATTCTTCAGGGTGGAGTGCAGGTTTTGGCATTGGTGACTACCTTATGGGGTCAGGTCCATGGGGTCTCTTCTCAGAGGGTTTGTGTCTGCATGAGACAAGCTCACCACAGATCAGTGGGTCATTCAACTTCTCAGGAAGGGAATGGGCCTTCAGTCCACATCTCCTCCTCCTCTTTCTCGCATAGTGGTTGGCTTTCCACTCCCCAAAGACCCTCTACATTCGAAAGTTGAGCACAAACCATACAGGATCTTCTGCATAGAGGCCATAAATCTCATCACCTCCTCTCTCGAGGGCATTTCTTCTTGGCTGTTTGTATCACTGAAAAAGACAGGTGATTGGCAACCAGTCATCAACCTTTCTTGTCTCAATCTCTTCCTCCAGACTTGTCAGTTTACAATGAAGTCATTTCCTCCCTTCATTGACTCTTTTCACCTGGCCTGTGGATGACAGAATTTGATGTCGCAGACACCTACCTTCATATCCTGGTTGCTGAGTCTTCAAGGTGTTATCTATGTTTTGTGCATGACAACCATGTTTTTCAGTTACATGCCCTACCATTTTGCCTCCCTTCTGCTCTTTACATTTTTTTGCCAGATAGTCTGAGATTTTTTGCATCATCTTCACTCCCTTAGCATTCACACTCACCATTACATGGATGACTGGCTTCTTGTCACCCCTTCTTGCCATTTGGCAGAACTACACACTCAAACTCTGGTATCAGAAGCTGCAAGCGCTGGGTGTCGATTCTTACTCCCACTCAGTACCTCATACATTTAGAGGTGTTTTCAGTTCCAGACTGAGCCATGGCTAACATTCTCCTTTAGTCCTTCAAGCCATGGAACAGATGATTATTCTCCACCAGCATCCACAGTTCTGTCTCTTTTGAGGATATGGGCATCCTTGGAATCACTCATTCCTTTAGGTCAGGCTCACATGCAGACCCTTCATTGGCTGTTACGGAAACAGTTGCACAGATGTACAGACTGTTGGTTTCCAGTGTACTGGATCTCAGCTGGTGGTTGAATAGGGTGGTTGAATCTGTAGTTGGAGAGAGTCACAAGATTACAATCACTATAGTAGGGTATAAAGACTGGAGCAACTGAGTTAGAATTCATACCATTGCTTAGATGGGCAAAGTAGAGAACCTTTCCTCAGGATAAGGCTAAGTGTGAGAGGTGGTAAGTATTATTGGAAATACATTTTCAGTATAGGAAAAATGTAAACTTTTATAAGTCTGTAAATATTATATTGATTTTGGTTTGTAAAATACCACATGCAGTTTCACTGTGTTTATAAATCAATAAAAATAACCTTTTTATCTTATTAAAATCATGAGCAAGCTGTTTTTTATTGTTTTTAGAAACTATTAATTAGAAGGTTTCAGTAAATATATGTATTAAGTTTTAAACATATTTTTTAAATGAATATATATTTTTACACTTTTCTGCAATTTTATTTGCAAGTTTCCTTTCAATTTACGTAACATCCGCTATTTAATTCAGTGATTTTTTCTGATAACTTCCACAATAGAGTACATTTTACAATGACCTATAGGATTGGCCCCTAAACTAGTTGTGGGCCCCTAAAAATGCATGTTTTGGGGGGCCCAGCTGGCTCCCTAAAACAATTAGTTTACAGTTCAACAAAGATTTGCTTAGTGATAAAAATATATATATATATATATATAAATTTTGTTTCACTGATAAGGCCATAGTGTTAGGCTGTTTACATTAGGCCTTACTGGTCTTAGTAAACTGCTTGAATGGCAACATATTTAAATTTATTCTGTTGTGAACTCATATTTCATGAAAGAAAACACAAGTCAAACCATTTCATATTTTCAGACCACTTAAATGATTATTATTTCATTTATGATCTTCGATTTCTCTCCAAAGCATGATATAACAGTAACTTTTTGTTCCACTTCAAAGTAGTATCCATTAATAATCAACAGAAAATCTATGCATCACTGCCATTATAATCTGTTCTTGTTCCTATCTAACCCATTACCATCTAGCTAACCCACATTTGTCAATAAAATGTCAAACACGTTTGATGGAGAGATGGAAAAAATCATACAATTTACATCACCACTAACTTTATAGCAATCAGTTCTTTCATATCCTGAAACAGCTGTTAATTATAGTTGTTCATGAATTTGAATTTGTAATAAACAAAATCCTCAAATTACCAACATATGGAAAACATGCAAATAGCTCTAAAATGACGTAGGTGGTGATGAGTTAACCTTGAGTTAGTGTCCTTTCCTAATCAAAATAAATATTGAAATAATTTCTTTTTTTTGATCACCTACATTTCGTAGATATCATCATGTTGTTGCAAAAGGACTTTGTACTTATAAGTAAGAGTCTACCCATGACATACCAGTGTTGCCAAAAGATATTCACTTAAAGTCACAGAGAACACAGCTTAAAAGTCCCCCAAAGTTAAAAAATTTCTTAAATAAAGAGAACCAAATGTTGATGGTCCAATAAATAATGTAACAGAAAAAGAAGGAAAAAGTCATTTCAGGGGAAAATGTGAGAGGGATAAAATATGATGAAGATGGTGGAACAATATTCTGTAATGTATGTATGCCATGCCCACCTGTCACATCTGCTCTTCATAAATTGATAATAGTTCTCTCTGACATTTAATACTGTATTATTTGTAACCAATAGAAAGCCAAAATTTTAATCTCTTAATGATGCATTACATTGCATTGTTTTCTGTACAGAGAATTGCCTTTTTTGCTTCCATTTCAAACTTTATTTCCACAGGAAATGCATTGAGGAGCTTAACTGAATTTTTAATGGCTCTTATTGCTCTTCTAATGGCTCTTAGCTAGAAAACCAGAAAAATTTTGATAGTTATAGGATATTGTTTGCCATGTACTTGTTATTATTCTTGACATGAGCATCTTTTTCTGCACATGTCATGAAGTTTTAGTGAATTACATTCAAATTTTAATTAAACTACTTTCTTTTCATGGTATACTAATAATTATAGTATACAAATGTACCTAATAACCCATATTTTAATAGTATATAAGTTTTAAGTTCTTAATTCTATAAGGCAATGTTAAAAGAAATTCTGAATTTCCCCTAGTATGAGCATTGTGAAATTTTTTCTCTAATCATCTTCCTCTTCATCTAATTTATTTACCACCCCTTCAAGAAATACTGAATTTAATGTAAGTTGATCATTATAATATTATCGTCACTCAGGCAAAGCATAATTTTTATAGTATTCAATTGTACTTGGTTACAGAGCCATGAAATAGACAATGAGATCCCTCCTGCCACACCCACCTGTCACATTCTCTCTTTCAGAAATTGCCAATAGTTCTCTCTGATGTTCAATACCATATTACTTATAACCATTAGAAAGGCAGGGTTTTACTATATCAAATAACTTATTATATTCCTCTTTTGTTTGTACAGAGAAATGTCATTTTCACGCTTTATTCCCATGGGAAACACTTTGACGAGCTTAGTTTAATTTCTTAATTGCTCTTGTCGCACAGTTAGAAAGCTAGAAACATTGTGGTAGTTATGGGACATTGTTTGTTTTGTCCATGTTATCTGGGTACATTATTTAATTAATTGAAAAACTATTTAGAGTAGTAGTACCATTAGTATAAAAAAAAGTACAGTTAAGCTTCATCGACAGTCAAAAAATAAATAAAAATACATGGGTAAGTACTAAAGTTCTTGTTTTTCATGTATAATCTTTATTATTATAAAAGTAACTGAAATGTAAAAATGAGAATTTGTTTAAGTGAGATAAAAGAAAAAAATAATAATAGTAATAAAAATTGTTAACAGGATTATGCCTGCAAATAGCCTGTGCCTTACCTAAATTGATGGGGTAATGTGAGCTATACATTCGCCAAGTGATTTTCATCTTGCACGGTGGGATTATCAGTTAGATACAGTTCAAAGGGCAATAAAACAGTGAAATTTAAGTAGAAACAGATGTATACTGTTACAATTTGAAGTCATTCTAGAAAGAAAAAGGGTTATTTAGATTTATTTTGTATTAGTTTGTGATGGTTATGAGGTCTGTAAAATTGGCCAACCTTGTATAGAGTTAGGGTAGAGAAAATATAATAAAATATTTATTTCAGTAAAACATTTGAAATTTATTTAGAAGGTTTTAGAGATTATGCTAATGAAATTTGACAATTTTCAGATGAAAAGTATTTCTAATCTTAACATGAAAATCACTTTGCACTTGTAGCAGTGAAAACTCTTTGACTCCACATATACACGAAGAAAATTTTAGGGAAAATACTTTCTTAAGAATTCTTGTTTTTTGTCTACAAAAGACTTAATGTTTACTAAAAGCTTGCAAAATTTTGTGAAGATACACAAAACACAGTAGAAGTTATAGTATGGAAACTATAAAGGTCAATTTGGGGTCATGAACTTGAGCAATTTGACCAAGTCTGTAGGGAGAGTATTAAGTAAGAAAAAAATGATTGGTAGGAAGAACAAACTGTATAACATAGTTAATTTGTGTGGAACAGTGGGTATGACATTCGTCTGTAATATTTGAAAAAGGTGATATGTATACTCATTCTTATAATGAATAAAATTGGTGGTTAAAAAAACAAGTAAAATATGAACCAAAGAGGCAATGTAATGAAGTATTGCAATAACCTGAAAAGTCAGATTTACTATATCATTCTTGTAATTTGTGACTCATGCAGACATTAAAACTATATTGTGAATCAAAATTTCTTTTTATCAGTATAAAATATTATATAAGTATATGAAATAAAAATATAAAAAAGTTTATAATATACTGTTAGGTGAACCAAAAAAATAGCCATTTATTATTTTTTAACCAAAAATCAATAATATATTTACTATAATCCAAAAGAAAATAAGATATATTTTATCTTAGATATTTGTTTGCTAATATAGGCTAAAAAACTGTTGAGGCTATTTTTGGAGTCCATGTTTAGAAGTATTGATTAAAATCCCACTAAAAATTATTAAAATTCTATATTTTTCTCTCTAAATTATTCTGAAAATTATAGCTGTTGACTTCAAGAGCTGTGAGGTCGTGGGGTTTGGAAATTCAGAAGGGTGTTTATGACATGCTGCTATTATTAATGGATCTTGTGGCTGCACGACTGAAACATGAACCTGTCCCTGATCGGCTGTTATCATATGTCCTGGCTATGGTTGGTATTATGAATGTTTTCTTTTTATGTTCATACTTTAGTTTTGACAATGGAAGTATGATTTACTATTAATTCTAACCAATTTGGGTAGCAACCAGGGAGTGCAGAGTACTTGTCCTTCATAAATATACATTTTTCCAACTTTGTCTTAATATTTGGCTATAAAATACTGATACATACAGAGTATCTCGGTTACTTGAAGATCATTACATGAGATTTTACATGGTGTTAGTAGTGATGAACAATAAACGTTTTAAAGATGTACATGCATAGCTTGATTTTGATGTCTTCATTGTTGCACCTGTATATCTGAATCATGTTTTACATAGGTTAAAGTAACATACTTTAATAGGAGTTTTTTTTATACTCAAGATATATTAGAGCATAATAGCTTTGAAACTGGGATTTTGATATTAATATTTAACCAGAAGTATGTGGGCAACATTTGTGTTACTAAATATTTACTCCATTGTAGAATTAGGGCTTTTTGACTCATAGCCATTTACATTATATTTAATTGTGCTAATTATGTTGTATTATTAAAGCAGTAATGCAATGTAAGTGTTTTAGCAGTAAATGGTCAGAAAAATAAAAATCATCACATGTAGTTTATAAGATGATAAAAAGGTTTTCTATATTAGCAAGAAAACCACATTCCTCTTTATTTTAACTTTGACCATATACAGAATAAAAAAAATCCATTGTCAATTCACTGTAGAATGCACATTTTGCATTTCTGTTGTGATTATTAGCACTATTTGTTGTTCAATTTTGCAATCATTTGGTTTATGTTTATATTTGAAAATGATGAAAATAGGTATGGCATATAAGTGATAAACTGCAACTTGCTCTCTCAAAATATTTATCATGTCTTACATTGTTTTGTTTTTTAATATAGATACAGGACTTAATCTAGCCATAGAATAATACCTCTCATCAGTCTTTTTTACAAAAGATTTTTACTAATTTGTATGAAGCTAAGTTTTATTATTACTTGTCAGGTTTTGAATATGGGCTGGGATTCTTTTACAGTAGGTGCCTGTGACTCATTGGCAATAAATTTGAACAATAAACAGACAGCACACAATCCACTTGTTTTAAAATAACATATTCAAAACAAATGAAACATATGTACAAATATTCTTTACACTACAGGATATCACAGTTGTTTCTAAAACTAAATAATTCTTTTTCTTCTTGTCAAAAGTCCACACAGGCTGGTTCAATTACTTTAGAACCTAATTGACAAGATGAATTATTTCTTTCTTCTGTTATCACAATACAATCAGTGATAAATGAACTTGAGGGTTACCACAGTTGTATCCAGAATATTAAATATTTCTATGGGGTGGGGTTCTCATTTGTGAGAGCAAAAGCCGACATATATTGTGCTAAACATACTAATATTATGAGGGTCTGGGGGCATGCAACTATTTCAAGCCAAAAAATGCAAATGCTTCATCAGTAGGATGTAGACTATGTAAAAAACGTTAAGTACCATAAGTAGCTGCACTGTCAGGTTTTGTAAGTGGGCTGGGATTCTCTTATAGTAAGTGTCTGTGACTTGTTGGCAATAAATTCAAACAATAAACATACAGCACACAATCTACTTGTTCTAAAATAATATATACAAAACAAGTCAAGCATATTTAAAAAATTTCTTTACACTATAGGATATCACATTTGTATCTAAAGCTTTAAATAATTCTCTTGTTGAAAATCCACACAGGCTGGTTCAGTTACTTTAGAACCTAATTGACAAGATGAATTATTTTTCTATACCTTGTTTCTTACTGCACAGTTTGTGATAGATTCACTTACATTACCTCGTGGGTTACCACAGTTGTATCCAGAATTTGAAATAATTGTCTCCTATTCTTCAAAGTCCACATAGGTGGGTTCAATTACTTTAGAACACCCTTTGACAAGAAAAATTATTCTCCTTTATATCTGTTATTACAATACCACTGTGAAACTAACTTTCAGTATTGCCCATTATGGCTAAACTAATAATCACACAGTCTAACTTCACTTTCACTAAGATAACGTTTTTTTGACTTACCTTGTATTCACTTGGTTGCCTATATATATATACATTACCTAAGTAAGGCCTACAAACTATGAGATGCTATGATGTAACAATACTCGTTTAAGGCAAAGAGACAAATACAGAAGGTTGAAGTAATGTGACGTCAATTTACAACAATTGAACTACACACAAAATGTACGAGAATCGAATAAGAAGGCATTTAAGTTAGAAACTTGATTAATGCTATGTTCTAACTGTGGGGATTATAGAGAAGAAGAAAAACATAGTGAACTTTAAACTAAAAGGAAAGGAAAAAATGCAGTACAGCCCAATTTGAACACAACCCCAGAAATGCTGATTTTTACATTTTAGCAAACATTGCTTAGAGTTAGGTGTACATGTGTTAAAAATCTCCCATGTATAAGGGTAATTGCCGACATAAAAACAAGCAGAAGAAAAAAAAAATGTTCATACATTGTTGGTCTCAAAAAAGTGAACTCACCAGGGAGGGGGTCAACAAACTTAAAATTTAAGTTTCTCTTATGAGGGACTAATGCTGAAAGGAAGGCTAGCAAGATCAGTGACTGGAAATAAGTATTAGTTAATTATCAAGCAGTATATCATTGAAATTGACAGAACATTTTTTTTTAATCAACAATATCAGGTTAACCTTCTCCAAATGGGTCACAGATCAAAGGCCATGTCATCTCGTTTGTTGACTCGCATTCAAAATTTTATTGAACTACTATTTAATGAATTTATGTCAGTAAGTTTGGTATCAAACTGTAGATTACAATTCAAATTTTAGTACTGTGTGTTACTCAATTTCTAAATTTAAAAGCAAATATTAAAAAAACACAGTTTAACATCGGTTTTTGTGTGTCACGTGGTATGTTGAATGCAGCACTGATTCAAAGTTGATGTTTGTGATGTCAAAATACTAAGTCTATAGTTTTGTATGAATTAGGAACTAAAATTACTGATATTAACAAGCTAGAATATAAAATAAGAACCTCATATATTTTCTGTTTGCTGAGATATCACTCATGTACTAAATCAAACACAGTGACCCTGCTCACCTTTTTCCATTTTTGGAAATGGTCCCGTATATACACTTACTTGTGTATGTGACATATGAATAACCAATCGGAAGCTCAGAATGTTTCCCTAGTGGCTTTCTTAGCCATTTTGAAGAGTTAGGATGCCATTATGTTCTTTCGAACCAAGATTTCAAAGAGGTAGGTTGTGTTTTTAGTCTGCTCGATATTTCATATTTTTTTAGACTGAAATACATTTTAATTGCTATGTTTAATAGATTGTACATACATTAATACTATTTAGAAATAAGCTCTTAAACTTATTTTTCTTAAAACAAGAACAGTAAATAAAGAAGTAAAGCAAATAATTATCACTTCTAGTTACAACATTTATACTCGGTTGCTGCTTAACATAGGTTGCTAAGCCTTCTAAATTACGCATGTAGAGGATATGAAACAAAATAATTTTTTTTTAGGTTTTATATCATCAATTACTATATCATTTCCACAGAATTCCATTATGTTGTATAATAATTGAAATGTGACTGTATTTTACAAAATACTAGTCTACTAAAACAGAGCGAAGACAGGTCACTATGTAAAGACTAAAGGTCAGTTTTATATTATTGGATATGGTAACAAGAGAGCACATGTGCCGCATATCATTATAACTTCTGTATTGTTAGCCAAGCATCGCTGAAAGGTCAATATAATAAAAATAATAAATATATATAAATGTATAATGTTACTAGATTTAAGCTATTTGGTCTAAACATTTATGTTTTCATGTTATAATTTGTTGTCATTCTAGAAGGAAAGAGGCATAATTTAAATTTATTTCCTACTTTTTATGGTGGTTATGAGATCGGTCAAATCTACTGAACATGTACAGATATTTGTTAGTGAAAATAAAAGATAAAATATGAAGCTTTTTCTTAAGAAACGTTTGAGAACTATCTGGAAATTATAAAGATTTTACTTGTGAAAGTTGAAAATTTTCTGATGCACAGAAGTATCTTTAATCTTGCTCAACAAACTTTAAGACTTAATAATAAAATATTTTATGAATGAAACCATTGTAATGTTTACTGATAATCTACGATATTTCATAAACATATGCTTACTAATTTAAAAGTTATAGCATGAAACTATAACAAGCACAAAATGGTTTACATTTTGTCTAGAGAGGGTGCTATTGTGTTCAAAGACGTTTTTTGCATATGCAGATAAGAAAAATCGTGAACGTTTTCGAACACTGAGATAATTTTGTGTAGATTTTGGTTCTATTTGAATATTTTTAATTTGTACAGAATTATTTCTGAAAAATATTTAATATACTACTGAAAAGAATAAAAATGCTGGAATTTCCTCACCATTTACCATAATGCAAAGTCAACGGTTTAGCAGGGATTAAAATATTAGGTCGTCAAGAAATTATTGTCGCATTTTGGAACACATTCATTAACCACTCCCCAAAAAAACTTACATCACGTATAATAGTTAAACGAACCACCTAAACATAATATTAGTGTAACCTATGTAATGTGCAAAGTTTAGTATACTTTAATCCCTTATATTGATGGCACACTACGAGACACACATTTGGCATTTAATGCTGTTTGAATACAAAAAGGGAAACAATGCCTCTGTAGTCACAAAGAATATCAAAGAAGTGTATGGAGATGTTTTGAACATTTGTAAGTGTCAACGATGGTTCAGCAAATTTTGTTCAGGTGACTTTAGCCTTAAAAACTGTGATGGCAGGGGCCGGCATGTTGGACTTGATATTGATGCTCTGAATACGCTTGTTGAGTCTAACTCAAGGCAACACATTCATGAAATGACCCTCAAATTGCATGTCTCTCATGAAACAATATCTAAACATCTAAGGAATATGGGAAAACTCCAT